GACTCGCACCCGACAAAATATGGAATCGATCACGAGAAGATTTTACAGCAATTCATTCGTCAACACCCGTGTCCCCCGCTATTCCCACTGGAGAAATCCACCAAGGATTCTACCTGCTGAAGTACGCGCCGCAGTCCAGACGAAGGCAGCCACAGCTCCAGGACCGGACCACGTTTCGGTCGATCTCTTACGAGCTGGAAGACATCGCCTACACGAGATACTTGTGGATCATCTAACGTCTTACCTTCAAAAGGAAAGGATCCCCGATCAGTGGAGAATCTTCCTATCGTCTCTTCAGAACTGCCGTCCAATATGCCTGCTAAGCGTGCTTTACAAGCTCTTCACAAAGATTATTATTTCTTGCATATCAAGGACACTGGTTGAAGCTCAACCCGTAGAACAAGCTGGATTTTGTAAGGGATTCAGTTGCGTGGATCATGTCCAGACGGTCGAGGATTATGAAGGTTTGCCAAGAGTACCGCATACCTTTTGTCCTAACCTTCGTTGACTATGAAAAAGGGTTTGACAGCGTCGAGACCAATGCCATACCGTCAGCACTCGTCGACCAATGAGTGGACTCATCTTACGTGAGGACATTGGCCGATTGCTACAGAAAGTGCTCTACAACGGTACAGCTTTCCCATCGTCCCCTCAACATATCAATTTCGAAGGGGGTTAGACAAGGCGACACCGTATCGCCAAAGCTGTTTACCGCCTCCTTACGAGTGATGTTGAAAAAACTAAACAAAGTAGCGAAGCGGATAGGATTGCGAATTAATCGGAGGAAGACTCAGTTTATTTACAGTTTATGAAGAACGCCTTTTGCAAAGATCGGGAAATGGAATGAGAAGGCTCTCCAATCGCGGAGATGTCTTCTTACGTATATCTCGGACGTTCGATGAACATGTTCTCCGCGAATGATCTGAAAGCAGAACTAAACAGAGAGCGAAGTGCAGCTTGGACCGCCTTTGGGCTGCTAAAGGAAGCCACAGATAACGGACTCCGAGCTTCGAGTCCACCTGTTCTAGCCAACCTCTCTTCTCTTCTCCCTGCGTTCTGTGCAGCAGAGAAGTGGCCTGACACTGTGGTTACGTCGAAGGCACTCCGAACTATCCAAATAGCGCTCCAACGATGTCTTCTGAAGTACAACCGATGCACTCAATATCTCGTCGGTGTCTCGTCTTCGCGATTCAGCAAAATACGTTCAAGTTACATAATAAGAAGGACAGACGACAGATGGACGAAGAACTCTGGAGTAGATCCCTCGCGAAGCAAAACGTCCTCGAGGGACCACTCAGATGGGCTGACTTGTTCGTTGCACGGATGGACCGCTAAATTCTCAGCTGGTAACGAGTAACGGATCTGGACCTCGCGAATGTCGCCGCCGCAGTTCAATACCAATATTGTGGATGGCGCTAGCGAGAGGCAGAAACGGATGAAAACAATGCTGGGGCTTGCACGATGAGTGAAGATAGGCCTTGAGTATCTAAGTAAGTATGTGGGAAGTAAAGATCCATTAAACTGATACTATAAAGCATAAAAAGAGCAGCTTCATCGTATCAATACAAAATGACTAGCACTTCCCCACCAAGTTGACCATGATGCCAGCTCGTTGTTAGATCTAAGGCCAACAAATCGTTGCTAGATGTAGAAACTTGTGCGATAGGGTTATTTAGTATGCTGGACACAAATGTGATAACCAAATGGTATGGTAAGGTTTTGCGCCAAGATTCAGTAAGCTTTTGATCAAAAGGTACCTACACTCCGCATAGCAGTCGCAGAGGCACAGATCCATGTGCAAATGAATATCTTTTCAACTAATCCCTGAACATCAATTCTTGAGTTCGGTTCTAAAAAATAGGCATATTTTTGGAGATATCCCGTATTGTAGACATAGGGAGGAGATGAATTGGTAGGCAAGTTATGTCAATCACAACTAGCGATCAACTGATCACCTTTGAAGTCTCAAAAAAATGATATTTTACTTCAGCGTGAGACCGACTAATCTTCATTTGAACTCAATCTCATCCCATAACATTCCTGGATAATGAACATCCCCCAACAACTCTTATTTTCGATTCTTTTGCGTGTTCATGTACTCTTTTCTGAAACTGATTTGTATAGACACAATTGAACATTTTGAAGTAATATTCAATGAGTATATCAAGGCAGATTTCTAATAACTTTCATCATTCATCTGTTTTGCACTTCATACTTATTTTCTGTTTTCTAATTTGCTCTTTCACGTTCAATACTTTTTCAACGGAAATCGCCGCACTAAAGATGCTTACTTGCAGATGCAGATAATCACTGTATCAGACGATAAGAAAGGAGTCATTTGAAGTTGAGTCATTCAGTATCATTTAAATTCTTTGCATTCACTTTTTTT